TCGCCTCTCTTCCCGCTGTGGACTCCCGATTCCCGCTTCAAAACACACATTCCGCGAATCGGAAGGCCTTGACACGGCATCATATGGCATCATTAAATCTTCAGGGGCCTTGTCCTGTGCCAGAAGTCCCCAGGGACGCGCAACGGGACGTGCAACAAAACGCGCAACGGGACTCGCAAGCGCCGCGTTGGCCGAGGGCGCCGATGACGAAGACCTTGGCCGGGGGCACGGACCCAAAGGCGGTGGACCCGGCGCGGCTGAAGCGGGGGAAGCGCTGGAAGGCGTCCAGCACCGCACGGTAGCCTTGGGAAGCCCCAGCTCAGGGAGCGCATTTCCGGGCCGAAGGAAGGGTCAACTTACAGCCATTCTATTCTTATTCTATTGGATCCGATCAGAGCATGAAATCGAACCGCACGGCCTGCGATGTTTGCCATGGAGGTCAAGGCGTCCAGCTTCTGGGCTCGAGACACCCGCGGCACGAGCGCCAGGTTGACCACGTTGCTGGGGACGTGCCGCAGCGCCGCAAGCAGCTCCTCTGTGCCGTACATATTCCAAAACCCCACCAACCTTGGTATGGCCCCATGGGCCCAACGGGCACGGGCCCAATGGGTCCAATTGGCGACTTTCATTCACATCGCGACTTGATCCCAAGTGCACCAGAAAGCAAAGCGCTGAATGCTGGCCGCAGGGCGTCTGCGTGCCTTGCAGCATCTGCACCTCGTCCAGCAGCGGCTCGCTGACCTTGAAGATGATGTCGGCCTGCTTTAGCACCTCCACGGAAGACTCGGCCACTTGCACACCACCGTGCCTGGAGCATGGGTTTGAAGGGACTGGCACACTTTCCGTCGTGTTCTACAGTTCTACAGTACTTCAGTTCTACGACATTCCTTTCTCAGTTCTTCAGTTCCGAAGGTCCGAAACCTGACCGGACACCCCGCAAGCTGTCGGTCCTGGTGTAGTCCTCGTCGCTGAAGCCGGCGGAGTTGCCAGCGCCCGCCTCGAGGAGGATGGAGAAGCCCATGCGCCGCAGCTTGGGCACCGTCGGGGGCGCGAAGCTGACACGGGTCTCACCTACAATCAAGCAAAGCCCCGCGTGCCCCAAAGCCTAAAAATTCTAAAAACCTACTTGGGCCAAAGGACTTGCAAAACGTCAAGGCCTTCCCCGAGCTTTTCATTTTTCACCCGTACAAGGCCTGCCATGCGCTCCCTGAGGATGCCGATGACCTTGACGGGCTCGGGGAAGACCTCGGGCTCTTGCAGGTGGCTGGCATGCTCGTCGGCCCCAGAGCCGGACGCGGCCCCGGTGAGCCGATCCTGCTGCTCCTCCAGGTGGTGGCTGATCTGGTCCATGGACTGCTTCGCGTCCCCGAAGAGCATCTTCACGTTGCCTGGATTTCTGTTCAACTCGTGATTTCGTTTACGAGGTTTTGGGCGTGCCGAAACTCAGCCGGTGCAGCACACAAAAGAAGTAAGCCAGGGAAGCAGAACATGCTACAATTTGGACCAGGCGTCTCAGGTAGAATAGTGGATTGTCCACACCACTGTAGCCGGTCCCCATAGAGCGCTTCATCACGACGCACTGCTTGCACTTCCAGATTTCAATGGCTGGCATGCCATAGATGGGACTGCTGGGGTCATCCTGAGTGGCAGGGTTCACGATGTCATTGGCCCCCACCACGATGCCCACATCGTAGCTTGGCAGCTCGGCATTGATCTCGTCCATCTCTTTCACGATGTCATAAGGCACGTCTGCCTCTGCAAGAAGCACGTTCATGTGGCCAGGCATGCGGCCGGCCACGGGGTGGATGGCGAAGTGCACAGTGACGTTGTGCTTCCGCAGCACCGCCACGATCTCCGCGAGCTTCTGCTGGCACCGCGCCACCGCCAGGCCGTAGCCCGGGACGATGACCACCTTCTTGGCACCGAACAACATGCCCACGAAGCCCGGGGCCGACACCTCGCTCACGTCCTGACGCGTGTGTCCCCCCACCGCGGCCACAGCGCTGGTCCCGTCCGTGCCGAAGCCGCCCAGCAGCACGTTGTACATGGAGCGGTTGATGCCGCGGCACATGATGTCGCTGAGCAGCGTGCCGCTGGACGCGATCAGCGCCCCCGAGATGGTCAGCAGGTCGTTCGAGAGCATGAAGCCCGCGGCGCTGGTGGCCAGGCCGCTGAAGGCGTTCAGCAGCGACACCACCACGGGCATGTCGGCGCCCCCGATGGGCAGCACCATGTTCACGCCCAGGAAGCCCCAGAGCGCTGTGTTCGCCAAGAGGCATCCGGTGCCCATGTGCGATGCGTAGGTGACCGGGTTCAGGAAGAAGCCCGTTGCCACCACACTGCCAGCTGCAGCAAGGCAGTTCAGCAGCCACCTCTTGAGAGCATACATTGTCACGTGCGGTGACATACAGCAACAAGTACTGAGCAACCAATTTCGACCAAGCCCATGCAGGCCCTGCTTGCAAGCAATCAAGTCCCCGCCTCTGCGGCAAAACGATGGGCTTGCCCGGAATGAGCTCATGCAGTTTGCCCGCGGCTACGACACTGCCGGTGAAGGTCAGCGAGCCGATGGCGATGCCCACGGAGGTCTCCAGGGCTTTCATCACAGTGTAGGGACTCCTCACCCAAAAGCAACGGAGCATTTCCAATGTGAAAACAAATGGAGAACAACCAGCGTCTCCCAGTCAGAAGCAATGCAAGCCCACCAGCCAGCTACAAAAAATTGGAAGCTCCGAGGCGCATGGGGTTGAAGTAGCTGGCGAAGCCCGCGAAAACTGCGGCGAGGCCCACGAAGCTGTGGAAGCCCGCTACCTGAGCGGAAAACGCAAAATCTGCCCCGTTTGCCTCTGAATGCGAATCTTACCAAGCGAACGAAAAACACAAAGCTCGTCCCAAGACTATGCTCACGAATCTGGAGCTTGCCTGCTTGCCTGAGGGCCCATGTTAGCCCCTCGCAGAAGTCAATTGACTCTGACCGGGGTTCGAAACAACGCGCCCACGCAAATGGGCGGACGCAAGGCAGGTTGGGCAGTGTGCAAGCAATGGCAAATGCCAGGCAAGCCATTTTGTCAAGTGCGAACTTACAAATGGCCGGGCCGGGAGAGAAATTTCTTCTGGACGTGCCAGCAGCCCGCAAAATGCACGGCCCGGTGGGGAGAACAAAATGGGGAACCATGCCACAAATGCAGGAGTCCAAGTGCAAGAAGAACGTGCTGCAATGCAACAAAAGGATCCAACTGGGGCATGTCTTCCATCTTCACCGCGGTGGCAACGCCGTAGCCCACCCCAGCAGCAGCTAAGAAGGTCATGAAGAATCCTGGCAAAGGAAAGCGTTGTTCGACGCACCGTGTCTTATTGCAAGCCCTACTCTTCAGCTCGCTTGCACATGCACCATCCAAGGGGCGGATGTGTGCCGAGTGGAAGCCCGGAGACATCAGCACTGAGAGGATGCCCAAGGCTGTAGCCACCATGCCTCGGCTTCCACTCCCCAACTCCCCAACTCCCCAACTCCCCAACTGCCCAACTGCCCAACTGCCCAAGCCTCCTCAGAACGCCGAGCCGCCCATGTAATTGCCTTCTCTGGCTGTGGAATGCTTGTTCAGGCCCTTGATGGAGCCTATGAACATCACTGCTGAAGTCCTGAGCGGACAAGCAGCACAAGTCTGGCCGAGCCGACCCACCAGCATCGCAACCAAAACCAAGGCTCAAGGAGAAGAGGCCCACATGGGTTGCCACATTCTCTTCCAGGAAGGCATCAAAGCCCACCCCGCCAAGCCTGGGTGGTGAGATGATACAACCCCCCCCCCCCGGGATTCCAATCAACCTACTACGACCCACCACCACCAGTACCACCGCGACCACCATACCTGTAAAAACCCACCACCACACCTTTCCTTAGAAATGGCCCGGCTCCCCCGAATCTTCCCGGGTCCCGGGCTTCAGGGGGAAGTCGGCCAGGGCGGCGCCGCCCGCGGCGCCGGCTGAGCCCAGGGCCTGCAGCAGCGGCACGCCGCTCACCGCGGCCAGGGAGCGCATGGCCACGCTGGTCCAGGCACTCAGAACCTAACCCCACTCAGAACTGGCAAAACGAGGGAGCGAAGGAGGGAGAAAATGGCCGAGAAGGGGACCCACCCAAGAGACTGGAGCATGAACTGACAACTGCCCCGGTGCTGCGCCACGGATGTCCTGAGAAAAACTAGACTAAACTACTTCAAACTGTCAAGTAGCGGGCAGCAAGGATGGACAGGCCGGGATCGTGAGGCTGAGTTGACGAGGCGTCGTCTGGACGCGGATGTTGGACAAGTCAATCCCCTCGTCCTCCGCGTCGTCACAGTTCGCGAGCACTTCTTTGGGCCGCAAATTCCTCTCAACACCTGAGGCTTGAGGAAAACAGGCAAAAGGCGATGCCACAATGCTAAAGGCATGTGGCTCAATGGCCAAGGCGCATCTGTACAAATAGGACTGCTTGAAGTCGGGGAACTTTCCGAGGGAATGAGCAGCCAAGGTCACTCCCCCGAAAGACGTACAACTCCTGGCGCACCGATGTCTGCCACGGCCATGCCTCTTTCCCACACCTGCCTCCGGCTTCGCACCGTGACGCCCTGATCCTGCCGCAGAGTCACCCGCAGCAGCTGCCCCTCGTGGATGCTCCTCGGGTCGGGGACCCGCGCAGGTTTCCGACGAGGGATCGCGTGTCCAAGGCTCGCATCGACCTGCCCGAAGAAATCCGCAAAGGGCACCGCCATTGCCAAGTGCTTGGAGCCCAATGCTGAGAATGGATGCGACATAGGCCCGCTTCGAGGCACTCCACACGCCCGAAAGAGAGACTGGAAACCGAACGCACTTTGCACTTGCCAGCTGATTCCCAGTAGCCTGGAAAAGAAAGTCAACATGGCGCCCAAAAAAGAACACAAAGTCTGGCGTACTACGTACCACAAGACATAGAAGGCAAAAATAGGGCCGCAGCGAAACGCCTCCAAGGGCTAAGCAAATGCGACCGCCTCCTTGCAGGTCTCTGCCAGCTCCCCCAGCAGCTCCACAGCGCCAGGCCCCGGCTGGAGGCTGGCAACCTGCGAAACATTTCACGTCAGCTCGTCTCTCAGCTCACTCCGAGCTCAGCTGCCCCCCCAGACCCCCCCCCCCCCCACTCCTCCGCTCCTCTCCCCGCCTGTTCGCAGATGAGCTCCGCCGCTGCCTTGCGCTTCTCCTGTGGCAGCCAGAGCTGCCATCGGCGTCGCACCCGCCAGTCGGTGCGATGCTCAGTCGGTGCCCAGTCCTGGTCCTTGCTGCGCAGCTCGCTGCCTGCACCCGTCCACTGCGGCCCGGAGACAGGGTGTCTCGCTGGGGCAGCGGCTTTTCAGAAGCTGCTGCACGGCAGCTGCGTCTGGAACCTGAGCAAACAGCAAACACAAATCTGACAAAAGCTTCACATCGCTTGCCTCCACAGGCACCGACATCTTCGCCTTGACCTGCACGGGCACACGGCTGGGAATGCTGCTTTAATGCGCAAGGTTTCACAGCACCGAGCTACCACTCTCCCATGTTCTATCATACAATGCCTACACCAAATCAATATGGCACCATGCAAGTGGCAAGATCCCTCACGCAAAAACAATCGCCGGCCGAGGTGAGAAATGGCCAAAGGCCTTGGGCTTAACCACTGGCTCCTCCTGATGCATCACACAAACAATGGACTTTCCCACATGACAGGCCCGGGGAAACAGCACAGCCGACTCACTGTAGAAACCTATAGGGTTTGGGAAGGATCTCCTCCGTGCTGTTTTGCTGCCATGCCAGCCGCCAGCCAAACATGTGTCGACTCTCCCGGGCTCCTCCGAGTCTTCCTTGGGAGCTGTGGCCATGGCCTTGGGCTTCGGCTTCGGCTTCGGCTTCGGGAGATCCTCCACGCTGGGGATGCTGGGAGCTAGCAGCTTGGCCTCGGCCGTTTCGCGCAGGGAAAACAGAAGCGTGGCACTAGCAGACATATCAGGCATACGTCCAATTCTCTGAAGCCAAGATCCATCAACATGATAAACCGTTCCCAGCGGCGCCGGAAAAAGAGGCAGCCGTCTTATGCTTTGGGTACGGTAGTGACACGAGGAGTGGTCTATCACTGGAATCGCCGGCGCCATGCTGGCTTCCTAGGTATCTCCAAGGTCGCATCGACGCCAAGTGCCTCTGGCGCGATTTCCAAGGCTACGACGGCATTCCAAGATGGCGCCAAGCAAATCGTACCAGCCAAGTCACACGGCCGGAGTCTCTGCAAGTGCGGAGTCTGTTCAACTCATGAAATGAGTTGAAGCAAAGACCCAACACTTCCAGACAAGACATGAAATGGGATGAGTTTGTTGGGTCGGTCTGTTCAGTCCGGCTATCACCTCAGATGTGTTGGCTTGAATGGTCGGAAGGCGAGCTATGTTTGTCTCGAACAAGACTTTGACTTGTCAGAACTTGATCGGAGAGATGTCTTTCCATGTCGTTTGCCTCTCACGCATACTGTGATGGTTTCGATGTCTTGGAGTCAGCGCCGCCAGTATGGGAGTGTGCATCATATCGTTGTTAATGCTCTGCTGCTGCCCAGTCTTGTCAGGGTGGATCACTGGTCTCAGAGTCTCAAGTGTTGTTTGTTTGGCACTGGCAATGTGCGCGGCAGCATCAGTCTTGTCAGGTCAAGGATGTTTCCTAGGCTGAGAACACTAGCCAAACCGTTTTGTGCCAACCCTTTCTGGCTTTCCTGCGCTGATTCTCCTTTGGCCGGCTGCGTACGACCGAGTACGGTCCGCGTTGGTCTCCTGGAGCATCTTGATGCTTTTTCGCCACCGTGGGATACTCCGGAGCTCTGGGGGTGCCGGAGGTTCCGGGAGGTTCCGCGGAGCATAGAGTGGGGAGGTTGCGGCAGGTCTTGGAGAGTTCTTGGCGTTCAGAATCGGTTGCCGGCCAGGGCTCCAGAGAGTTCTGCAGGTTGAGAAGGTCTCGGGTTTGACGGATAGTGGTGGGATACGACCTGGGCTTCTTCCCTTGAAGCCCGAGTGATCTATGGTGACCAGACTCTCCTGGCAAATGTTCAGCTCAGCCAGCAGTTGACATCGCGGATGTCATGAATCATGACCGAGGAGTTCCGGACGACTTCACGACCCTCTGTGGACGCCAGGAATGCACTAAAAGGTGGCCAGGATGCGAACCGTCAGGCGAAATACGCTTTCGTAGCAGGGCACTGTTGGGAACCTGAAGTGAGGCTGGTGCGAGGTGTCAGTTGGGCTGTTCTGTGCACAGCCAACACCCTGACGGGCCATTCTTGCGGCTGCGGACCTCACTCACCGAACTCTCCCCCTCTCGCTGGGCGCTGGGCGCTGGGCACTGGGCGCTGGGCGCCGGGCCGCCTCGGACTCCTCCAGTTGGCCAAAGGCCTCCCGGAGCGCCATCGCGCGAGTCGCCGCCAGGCGCAGCGAGCCCTCGCGCGAGACGCGAGACGTCGCTTCGAGGCTTCGATTTCGAAGCGACTTGGACTGAGCGAAAATTCCGCAGCGCTCATCTCATGCATCAAGCGCAACGGCAACAGTTCTGGACGGCTTTCCTGGGCTGTCGGTGTCTAACGCGCCCGCCTCGAAGGCCTTCAGAATCTTCTTCCTTTCCTTGGCGCTTTTCCCCGTGGCACGCGCCACGAAGGCCTGGGGACAGATGCTCAGAGAGCACCGCATCGCGGGTCGATCCGGTCAAGCTCACCATGTCTCACCATGTCTGTGCCTGCAGCACCGCTTGGCACAGCTTCGGCGCGTAGGTGTCCAGGGTGGCGTCCAGCACGCCATGCACCAGCTCCAGGGCCTCACACTTCCAGCCATCCGAAAAGCGCCCACTGACTGGCTAACAACGCAACATGCCCTTGACCCTACGCCTGGTCCGGCTCCATCAACGCTGCCTGGCCAAGGCTCACGCGCTATATGTGGCGAATGATCTTAATTGCCCCAGTTCCCCACCTCGACAACCATAGCCAGCAGGTTGCCGGCATCGACATTGGGAGGCATCGCCTGCAGAAGCTCCTCGTGTGCACAACAGCAACCTCCTCTCAGCACCGCCATGCACATCGAAACAAATGCGCCATCTCTGGATGACAATAGCATTCACCTGCAACGGGGAAGCAAGAAGCCCATGTTCGCGCTCGCTCCATGGCAAGGCATACAAAAGTGCCGTGCAGCCTGTTGACTGCATCAAGCTAGCAAGTATAAGATAACGGAGGTCTATTAGTTCGCATCAATCATGCAGCAGGCATTCATCAGGTCCATGAGAGAATCGTGTTCTCTGAGCCCCAAAATGTTCTATACAAACAGCTCAAACACCAACTGTGGATGGCAATGCCTTTGCTTAAAACCTCATTAACTGTGAAACTTCGACAAAAGGACCATGTTTGTACTGGAATCGCCAGGCTTACAGAGTACGTAGGTTCAATGTGATGGGCTGTGTTCTAGAAGTTGTTGTGGTCGGCTGTTCGATTGGAGTGCTTCATGCATTCAGCTGCGTCGCTGGTTAGCCCTTTTCTTTGCACGCAACGTCCCTGACATCTGCATTGTCACCATCGCTGCTTTGCTAGTGCTCTGCTTTGCGGCACTTCATGCCACTCTCCTCTGGGCCGTTCTTGATCATGACCTTCAACACGCTGCTGGGCAGTGTGGAGATGGCCTGCATGTCTCAAGATTTGAATAATCAGGCTGTCAGTGGATGTCGCAGGCCTGCAGCTGAAGCATCGCTGCCATGAGCGCGAAGGCGGCTTGACCGTCAGGGCCCACCGCCTGTCGCATTGCTCAGCCACCATGCGCCAGCTTAAGCCACACGCCTGCCGCGCTGCCCTCACCAAGAGCTGCGCCTGCACACTGGCCTCGCGGTGGCAAGTCGGGTGACGACTCAGCTCGATCGCAATCATCGCCTCCAACTCAGTCTTGGCGCAGAGCGCCGCTGTGATGGTGACTCCCTGGGCCGAATGAGTGACTGGGTTCACGTTTTGCTTGCGAACAATGGAGTGGCAAGTTTGGGGCTGGGACCGCATGGAAGGCATCTTGCTGGCGAGGCTGCCGCAGCAAGAGCAGCAGCGTGGGTATCACAACCTCTCATGCGGAAGCGGCAAACTCGTGCCAGTCACGGGAGACAAGCCGACTCAGCGAGACACCTGTGCCAGCTCCGACACGGAAGTCCTGAGAACTGGAGGGGAAAAGAAAAAAAGAAAAAAGAAAAGTACACAGAGTACGCAGTGTACGCAGAAACGAATTCAGAAACAAATTCGGGTACGCGTTCGGACCCTGCTGCTCACTCTCGGCTCGCGGCGCCATCGCCAGCGTGTCTAGCCAAATGGCGGTGAAGAAGGTCATCAAGGCTCGGTTGCCCTTCTGAAGTTGCAAAGACTCCTGACGTGGATATGGGTGCCTTCGTTTTTAGGGGACCCCATGGTGTTCCTTTTTTTTGGATTTCGAGTAAAACTAACAAAGAGAAGGTACGAGATGGTACGAGTACCCTTAAAAAGGCACACACCCTGTCATCCAAGCTTTCGCGTTGGGAATGGCAACGCGGGACTTTCCATCCACACGATCTGCCGAGCACATCTTGTGCCCATGGCGCAACCTCTCCTCCACAATTTCCCCCACGAAGGACAACACGGCAGTGTCCTCGAGCAACTGGAGGTTCATCCATCAAATGACTGCTATCCAACAGCTCCATCCATCTGATCATAGGTGTCCTTTTTGGGAACATAGATGGCACCTGTAAATACTGGTAAATGAATAGAGCCCACCAAGGCCACAGCTGCCATCCATCTGCCAGGCCTTGCTGCAGTACTTTGCCAGGGTAGATCGCACTAAGGTGGCAGGCTTCGCCTCTCCAGAGCTTCAGTCACACTTGGCAGTGTGGCTTTGCGGACATGGGAATCTGAGATCAAAAAAAACCTGCGCGAGTGAAACATGCAGACAGTGCATTCGAACACAACCTGCGTTTCTGATTCACGTTCGCGGCCAACCCGGCACGAACAAAAAGAGGGCTGCCAATTGCATGGCAGTTGACACCTTAGGCAAGACCTTGGGTTCCGCAGATGTCGACCGGATGGCCCGCCATGCCTTCAGCGTCGAAAGCCAGGACCAGCGGGGTCTGTTTTCAACATGGAGCCCCTGCCAAGCCAATGGCTGCATCGGTGGCAGTGGCATCGACTCGCAATTCGAGCCAAATGGCCTGGACCAGTTTGGTGAAGAGCGGCGAGTCCTGGGCAACAAGCAAACAAATCTTCAAGTGGTCCGCAACCTTCGTCCGAGGCCATAGCATGGTGTGGCAACACCGCCGCCATGATGTCGTCCACGTTCCACCTGTGCACGTGGTACCTCGGTTTTTTTCTTTTTTTCCCCCGTCTTTCTTTTCTTTTTCTTTCCACTGGTGCGGCGTGAAAAACCAAAAATCGGGGCGCCGGTGCAGCAGTCCCTCCAGGCACTCCTGGGAGGCTCGCGCCTGCAAGTGCGGGGACCTCGAGGCCAAAGCCGTCACATGGACGCCTTGACTCCCGCTCACCAAAAGCAACGCCTCGGAAGTCAGGTGCATCCCATCTGAGCATCTGGCAGAAGCAGCAGGAACTGGTGGATCTGCTTGTCCAAAGCGGCG